CTCTCTACCACCTCCAAAAAATGGATAAACAAGAAGTACAGGAAGTAAGTGGGTACGTTTTAGAGAATCTCAAAATCCACAAAAAACCCACAGCATTCAAACGCTGGCATGCTCATACAACGCGAGAAAGCTGATGTGGAATTGCTGGAATGCCATTAAATAGTTTCACGGTTTTATTGGTGCACTTTTGATTAAATAACCTTCAGAATGGAAATGTGTGGGGATTATGTAACGAAGCAGATGAGCCCACAATATTTTCACCAACACAAGGAATCGCAGGGATCTTTGCACTACAAAAGCTTCTTGTATAATTTGAAACACGACTGGACATAATTAGTAGTACTGAACAAATGAGCACTGAAAGAAAATACCATCCTCATACTTTTAATACGGAATCGATTACTCTAAAAAGCAAATCTACAGCAGGCAAAGCACTGGAGAGATGGTTTGAAAGAAAATTCTGCAAATTAAAACCAGGGCACCAGAAAGTTCTGGGTTGAACTAACAAATGATGCTCTTCTCAGCACAAACAGGGGCTGCAGGAGGCATTCAAACTGATTTAACAATATCAGTCAGTTAATACCGTATTCATTTAATGCATGGCCCTAGACGCCTGTGAAATCATTTTTTAGATTTCAGCATCGGACAGGACAGAATTAGCACCCTCATTTTTATGATAATATTGTTCATTTAATGCATGGCTTGGAGTTAGACTTCAAAGGGAATCTGAAAAATATGCCTTTTCTCTTGTCAGAGACATCTCTCTTCATGCACCAGCGGCTGGACCTTACATTTTAGCTTCGAATGCACAAAATCACTCTCATATTTCAACTGTCCCTTTATAATTCAATCACTTAGTTCATCAGTCTTAGATAGATTCTGTAATACCCTGTTCATGAAAGCTAAAACCGTTTTTTAACTTCATCTTTTCATGTTTATTCTCTGACGAGACCTGGACTGAAAGCTTTTCAATATAATGCATAAGATGCATTTAGCAATGAACTTCACACAAACATGTAAAAATGACTGGAATGGCCAAGGAAAGCCTTCTCCACTCTTTAAATCTCTCTCCTCCCTTTCCCACTATGGCCCTGAAAATCAAAAGTACCAGATGATGAATTAGATTTGTACAAACAAAAGCCTACAAGGGCTTCCAACACTGAGAATAAAGACTATTTCCTTTCCTTTCCCTCTAAAACACTGAAATTTCTCCTCAAACATCTACCTAGCAAGCAAGAGAAAGCTGAGAGTTCAGTGAAGAGTTTCTCCCGTAGATGAAACCCAGCCCACAGAACTAGGCACTCAGGCAGACAGCGCGTTCTGCATGGAGTTTCAAACATCCATTGCCCTGCACCCACGTGAGCTTGCAACGGGGTCCCCCCCTAGACAGAGGCAAGTGACCATTTTAAACGTGGTGAAGAAAAACTTATACCCAATTTCTGGAGCAATTTTACTACTATGGAAACAGGAGAAAGTGATGGAGGAAACAAAACACAACACAACACAACACAACACCACCACCATCCAGCAAAGCAAAATGGGTGAAGTGCACTTAGGGTGCGGAGAGACAATTCAAGGGAATGCAAATAAAGATTTTCCGGTTACAAATCTACTATTAAAAACCCTCAAAATACTGGTGTTATGAACAAAATGTTTGTGCCCCCCTTTCGAACCTCCACATTAAACCCCCAATGTGGTGGTATTTGGAGATGGGGACTTTGGGAAGTAACTAGGGTTAGACGAGGTAATGAAGGTGGGTCCCTCCTGATGGGATCATGTCATTATAGGAGGAGACATAACAGAGCTCGCTCTCTCTCTCTCTCCCCCTTTCTTGCTCCATGAGAGCATAAAAAGGCCATGTAAGTACACAGAGAGAAGGTGGCTGTCTACAAGCGAGAAAGGAAACCCCCACCAGAAACCAAACCCTGCCCAACCTTGATCCTGAACTTTCTAACCTCTAGAACTGTGAGTAAATAAATTTCTGTTGTTTAAGCCACCCAGTTGTATTTTGTTATGGAAGATGGAGCTAACTAATACATAGTTTCTAAACATGTAAACACTACACCCTACTTAGAGGACATTCCAGTGATACCTAACTATGCACATGCCCTTTGGTGTAGCAATTTCACTTCTAGATTTTACTCAATAGAAGCACAATCGACCCTGCAAAAATAAACGCATGAGTCCATTCACTGTAGCATTCTTGATTAGAAAGGGGATCAGTAACTGCATATGCCCAGTAACAGGGGACGGATTAAAAAAATCACTGTCAACTACAGGCGATAGAATGCCCTGCTCTTCAAATACACGTGATTACAATATGAGTAGAAAAGCAAGTTGCTGGATATACTGTAAAATGTGATTCTGTTTTTGTGGAAAACTTATGTATATTCATGCACATAGAAAAATCTGGAAGAATAAGTGCCAAATGAAAAGGAAATGGGAACATTTCTGAATTGTTTAAAATTTTTACATATGTTGCCTAGATTAAAATAAATCAATGTGTAAAGTTATTGTTAATTATTCCTTCCTTTAGTGACCTCAGGCTTTTGACATAAATCCACTAACGTATTTGGTTCATTCCCTTAGCCTTTAGGGAAACAGAGTTCGTGACTTTACTACAGAGGCTTCAAGTAAAAATGTTCAGTGTACCTTCCTAGTTATTGAAATAATTATGTACATAGCCTTAAAGCAGATCATTTATGTTGAAAACTAACAAACAGATGTATAGAGAGACTTATGGGACTTCTAATGGACTTCTTTCTATAAAAGGGGCAATTTGGGGTAAAAAACATACTTTTTTTCCCCTTAACTGGTCTAGAACAACTGGCAGGTCTACTTTTAATTCTCTTAATCACCTTCTCTTCATTACTGAGTTGACACTGTTTGTACGTCTTAATGAATTTACAGAGATTATTTCAATCGATTGGTTTTGTTAAGAGAACAATAAATCCTGACTGATAAGGATTCAGGATTAATTAGTTAGCTCTTCTTATTATGCAAATCTCTGATACTTCCGTAATGAGTAATTAAAGATTAATAAGAAAGATAGTCCCAAATTAGCTGCTTCTTATCTGTAAATGCTTCCGGATGTGCGGGGATCTGGCCATATCGGCATGTTCTCCATGAGACTGGTAGCTAGAGGAACTGCTATCTGAAAGCCTCCTTGGGAAGGACTGGGCCCCTGGTCACGGGGTTTCACAGGAAGGTGGCTCAGCTGCTCCACTCCACTCTCTTCACTTCTGCTCTGGAAGCAGGAGGTAAAGCCTGACAGCTTCTGAGTCTTGGTTGTGCCACTTTCTCTGGCTATGTGACCTTAAGCCAGTCATTTCTACCTCTTGGTGCCTTTGTCTCCAGGCCACTTAGCACAGAGCTGGGAGAAGACTCAATGAGGTCATCCGCATAGGACATCTAGCAGGGACTTGTACACAGCGGGGGCTCTGTGGAAGGCAGATGCTGACATTATCCATTCGTTAAATATTTAAGCTCCTACTATTTGCCAGGTGCTGTCCAGGCACCGAGAACAGGTCAATGAGTAAACAAGACTAACCCCAGCTTCCATGGAATCTATGACTCTTTTCCCTTTCTTGTTCGGGCTTTTTAAAAGCTGAAGCCATAAATCACGGTGCCCGGTGGTTGTGGCATTTTGCTCACAGTCCCAATAGAAGCACAGGCAGGCAGGAGGACACTCATTCAATCAACCCTCTCTGCAAGCCCAAGGTCATTTAAACACACTGCCCTCTGCCTAGTGAATAAAAAAGGGTGTCATACAGAAGGCTGCCAGGAGTAGGGTCCCTTGATGACACATTCTGCTCGGGGGCTGGGGAGCCAGGCAGACCAGAGCAACAGCATTCGTACAGCATGTCCACACCACTCTTCACAGAGCACTCTCCCACGGACCATGGCCTCCTGGGCACTGGCCCAGTAATCAGGGAGCAGCCCTGTGGGCCAGATGATTATATTAGCTTCACAGCTGGTGGGCTCATGATCAGACTCAAGTGGTTTGCCCCAAGATGCACACCTGTATGTGGCAGAACCAGGATTCAAAACTAAGGCCCAACTCCAAAGCCCAAGCTCCATCCCCCTCACCAAGCTGCTTCCCCTGCCTGCTACAGCTCTTCCATGGCCCAGACAGAGGTGACACTGAGGCAAAGCACAGGTGACCCCATACAGAGGCAGCTGGTAAAGTTATCCAGGAAAAGATCCAGGCTCACTGTGGCTATAATCTTTGGGAAAAGAGTTAGAGGGCCATAAGGGACGTGATGAGAATCACACCAGAGAATGGGGGAGAAGAGGAAGCACCTGGAGATGGACAGCTGAATCAGGGCTCCTTCCAGAGAGGATGTTACTGCCCGGCTTGGCTCCTGCATCTCCCACTTTCCAGCGTGGTGACCTTAGGCAACTTACTGACACTCTCCCAATCTAAGCAGCTTCATCTGAGAAAATGCCCAAACTACTCCTACTGCCTAGAGGTGCTATGAGGAACAAAGGTGATGCAAATATGAAGAGTATAGTAAATGGCACACAGTAGGCACTTAATAAAAGCCACTTTGGTTTCGGAAGTTGAGATAAAGTGTACTGTGAATGAGTCTACAACTGCTCTCCAAGTTTTTGTCATTTCGTCATCATGAGTGTTATCACTATTATTGTCATCAGAGTAATCCAGCTTAGAGTTCACGTCCACAGGAGAAAATCTAGCAGTTTAGGAAAAACCTTGCCAGGTCTAATTCTGAAGAGGCTGGCTCCCCAGGAAAACCAAATCTGGTGCCACAGATGACAGCACCAGTCTGCATGGTTAGGAGACAAATATGTGCTTAACTGCATCCCAATGTCCCCGACCCTCTCCAGCATCACTGCTCTGTGAACTCACAGGGGCCCAGCTGGCCCTCATCCTGAGGCATCTAAAGCTCTGTACACAAAAGCAGTGAGATTGTTAAGGGTTGCTACTAAAAGATCAAACGAACCCAAAGTGCACAGAAAGCACAAACAGCCGCACTCACAGCAATGATGTTGAAGAAGTCATCATCCCCCAACGTGTCCAGAATAGAGGAGACCGTCTGCTTGGCGATGGTCAGACGGAGGCCTTTCATGCTGCCACTGACGTCAACTAAAATGACCACGTCCTTCGGAGAAGTCGCTGCCTGGATGTACCTGGGTCGCAGGAAAATAAAGTGAAAATGAATCTTGAACGTCTCTGCAAGTTTTCTTTGTAAAAACTAAAAGACTTGCCCATTTCCTACCATTTTCGGTTCCTGCAGTCAAAGGCAATGACTCCATTCTCATCTGGTTCCCATTTAATCCCTAGAAGAAAAATGGAGTTATAAGAAATGCAGAAACTTCAAATATTTATTCATAGCACTTCAAGGCTGCTCTGCTTTGCTGACTGAATGGACAGGGTGAAAAATCATATGCGAAGACCAACCCCGGAGCTCATCATGTGCTCCATCACCCATTCTGGGAAGGTGCTCCAGGGCTGCAACACAACAGCAGAACAGCCTGAGCTCACCCGCCCCAAGACCTGCCAAAGAGTGGTGACATCCTGCGTAAAGCACTGTCCATCAAGGAAGGACCTGACTCCAGCCCCTTCCACGGCTAATGATAAAGTTAGCCAAGGTCAATTCTCACTGTCCCTCAAATTGTTGGACCTGGGGCATCACTCACAGATCTCTGGGCAGAGGTGGGCCCCACCCCTGGACCCGGGTAAGGTAATGTCTGTAGCATGAAGGGTAGAAAGCATTTGATATGTGTCTATCTCAGAATATACACAGGTCTGTTCTTTCCTGACTCCTGTTTTTAAAATCAGGAGTTTTGGTCTGGCCTTCCACACTGAAATAAAATCAAATGGCCCTAATTCTGCTGTATGATGAACTTTGCATTTCAGGCTTGGAGGCCTGCAGAGTTTTCTCATGTGTAAAATCAGACCCAACACCCTTAGCTTCACGGTTTACAGATGGTCAGGGTGTTTTCAGTGTTGACATTCTCTATTTACAACTTAGTTTTTAAGAATAAAACTTAAAAAGAAAAGTGCTGCTTAAGGATAAGATAGAAAGTAATTGTTTTCAGCTATCAGTGGTGCTCAGAGATGGAGGATTTGAAACGTAGACTTTGGAGTTAATAAAATTAGAACAGAAAAATTATTTTCACGGGAGAAAATCATGACTCAGGTGGTAGCACTGAAAGTCTCCTTTTCAATTACCAATGGCCAGCTTTCTGGACCACACCGGGCTAACAGTCCTGCGCTTAAGATAACACCCCCAAAGTATGACACAGATAACTGTGAGATGACAGTTCATAACCCCAAGAGTTATTTTGATCTGTCTTCCTTGTACCTACATTTCCCACCTGCAAATGTGCTTAATTTAATGAGCTTCCTGTAACAAATCAGAAAAAAGAAGTGTGAGAAGCCACTGCCAACTGAAGGCCGTTAGGTAAGGAAGATGAAATAAAGCTGACATGCTATTGTACACCACGGGAACAAGAATGCAATTTGTTTTAAAAACATCTGACATGCTGCTTTGTATAAAGCCAAGTACAGCTAGAATTGCAGTCTTGACACATAGGCAGTTAGATCCTTGGTGAGGCCAGATAATGTTCCAATTTGTAATTCCACAGAGAACTGGTTTGAGTCCAATGTTAAGAGCATTTATCTTTTAATGTGCTGCCTCATGGTAGGCGCTCAGTGGGTGTTTCCCGAGTTGAATTGTGGGTAGTGTTCTCAGAGGCTGAGCAAAGCCGATTGCCCCCCGCCCTGTCCCCCACTCTGCCACCCATCCCACCGGGAGGAGAGAGTGTGCAGCTCTCTCACTGCCCCAGCATTGAGGCCTGGGCCTGGGGGCAAGGAATTAAGGCCGCCGAATGCTGAGACCATTTCTCTGCGAATGAGCTTATAACTCCTCCCAGGCACACTGATGGCCGATGGGCCTACAACAGTGACCAAGAAAGATGGGTCCAGCTCCTCCTGCTCTCAGGAAGCCTCATAGGTAGCAGAGAAGCAGACACTAGATAAGAAGTCTCGAGAGCCAAAGCTGTCAGGGAGGAGAAGCACCTGAGGCCGTGTTAGTGTATGAAAGGTGGTTCTAATCCATAAGGGGAAGAAGCCTCTCCTTTAAGGTGAGAACAGAATGATGGTACATTAGTTTCCTAGGGCTGATGTAACGGAGGCCTTCCAACTAGGAGGTTTTACAGAAATGTATTCTCTCGCTGTGGTGGGGGCAGATGTCCAGCATCGAGGTGCTCCCTCTGAAGGCTCTAGGAAAGAGTCCTTCCCTGCCGTGTCTCAGCTGCAGGTGGCTTCGGCAATCCTTGGTGACTTGTAGCTGCAACTCTGCAATCTCTTCCTATGTCTTCACATGGCTTTCTTCCCTCTGTGTCCCTGTGCCCTCTCCTCTTATAAGGACACCAGTCATCTTGGATGCAGGGCCCACCCAAATCCAGTGTGATATAATCCCAACTTAACTAATTACATCTACAAAGACCCTATTTCCAAATACGGTCACATTCTGGGGCTCCAAGTGCACATAGACTTGAGTCGAGGACACTATTAAGCCCACTACACATGGGTAAGACTTGTAAAGCTCAAGTGAAGGGTTACCACAGGGTGAAGAATGCCCCAGGCAGACAGAACGACATTTGCAGAGGTGCTGAGGCTGAGAAGTGCACGCCAAGTTCAAGGAATTAAAAGAACGCTGGTGTGACTGCACAGGAGCGTCTATGCCAGAGCAAGGATCCTGCCTGGTGGCAGTAGGGACCTCAAGGCCCAGGCTCTCCTGATCGGGACATGGGGTACACGCTGAGTAGGGATGAAGGCCCACCTCGAGCCAGTTCTAGGCACAGCTGCCTGGAATGTAACAATAAAGGTCACACCTGGTCTCCAAGTCAAGACTGGATGGGCTTTGGGGGCTCAATCTGCTCAAATCTGACATATGGATCAAAACCTTCATTTCACAGCAGGGGCTTCAAGGTTCTTAGAATTCAACAGTGTTGCCTGAGATTTCTAGTTAGGACAAGAACTTGATGTCCCAGGCATTTACATAAGGGTGTCCTATGAGAAGTTCTCCAGTGCAGTGAACTGGTTTCTGTGCCTCGGGAGGGACATCTGACTGCCTTTAATTTGCTTCAGCGCATCATGAATCTCTGACGGGGGCAGCAGGGGCAGCATTCACCAAACTAATCTGACCACTGAGCCCTCCCCACAAAACAATCTCACAACAAAATGTTTTAGGAGACAAACTTCAGGAAACTATTCCAGAAGATACTATCTCCCCAAGGACATATCAACTTTTTAGTGTATATTTTTTTGCACACACAGATATTTTGAAAATATTCAAGTAACTTCAAATCCTGGAGAAATAAGAGTGGGCTCATCTCAAATGAGCCAACTTTGAGATCCAGGGAATCGTTACTTAACAAAGAATTACCCCCCTGATCCACATAATTCCCAGCAGTGCCAATATGCCTCTGGGGACCCATGCAGTCTGGAAGGAGCATGAATCTCCAGACGGGATGAAGGATGCAGTTCAGCAGACTTAGCTGCCCTCTCTGTGGGCCCTCGTGGCTTTATTGGCAGCATCAGTGATTGCTAGTCTGCCTTCCTCAGCTTCCAGAGGGCACGGTCTCTAGAACATTCAGCACATCCCTAGATGAGACTCAAAATAATGTAGAAATCTCTACTGCAGATTCAAATGCTCGAATCTGATTGAGTTTCAAATATTGTGCAACATTCCTATATCTCACAGCTTGTCCCCCAAAGTCATTAAAACTAATATTGGAGGAAAATTAATTTCATCTAAGACAACAAATGACTTCATGTTTTCCTTCAGCACATGCAAAGGAATAGCAGGGCCCACAGAGCGGAGCCTCACCCAGCTTCATCTAAGGGGTCAAGCCACACGCTGCCAACAGGATTTCATGTGGCAGAAAGGTTTCAGACTGTCCAACAGAACTAAGAACCACAACAAAACACAATAAAAAGCCAAATATCTTTTTGGCTTCTGGATTTATTTCTGCCCTTTTCAAAATCTCTACCTTAACAAAGGGTGTCTTAGCCCATTGCTTCTCTTTTCTCCTCAGTGCCAAGTCTTTTTCATAAAACTGCCTGGCATTGCCAATGACATCCAAGCCATCTCCACAACCCACCACCTGAACAAACACTAACTATCGCTCTACACCTTGGGATTTCTCTTCCCTATCTGAGAGCAAAATGCCCAGAAAGATGTAGAAAGAAAGGAAGGAAAATCAAGAGTTAGCAGATGTTGGTTTATCCCGAATTGGGTAGGTTCTGCCCAATTCCTTCCTCAATATTTTTGGCCCCAATTCTGAAGTTTAAATAAATACTTTCCAATACAACTTTAGATCTAAAATAGCTGGTCTATAATGAAATGCTAGCTTAATGTGAGTTCAGTTGTAGTCAAATGTGGCTTTCAAGTGTCTTCTGAGGCAATGGCCATGCACTCCCCCAGGAAAATAAAAATCTCCTTTCTTCAACCAATGTCACCTCCCTTACCAATCTCTTGAGAAACCATTCGCCATGATAAATGAGCAACATGAGAGTTGCTATGAAAACTATGAACTGTGGTTTTCCATGATCAGTCACTGGGGCCGTCCTGTTGAGCTGGTCAAGGGAACAAACTCCAACATCAACCACATTTCACCGACTGCTAAACCTGAGCTTGGTGAAAGATGGGCTAGAAAATAAATACAAAGCAATGTTGTGCACAGACCTACTCCTGATGATCACCAGCCAACAGCTTGTATGAGTCCAACTTGCAGAGGGCTCTTTCCTCAGCCATCTGTCCCCCTCCTCACGGCTGTACTGTGAGGCAGCTTTCACCTTCGTATGGCCCAGAAATCATGACAAAGACAAGAAAATCGATTCCCTTTGTGATCATCAAGGCTTCTACTGGAACAAGCTCCCCAAAATGTGGCTCTGGAAGGGTGAGAGTCTGATACTGGGGAAGAAACTGAGCTTCTTATCATCACGCATTCATTTAATTGGTACCTGCCTTTGGCTAGATACTGACCTGTCTACATATAGACAGTTTTCTCTCGATATAGCTAAGGACACACAGAATTGTCAGTCAACCATATCATTTTGGATAAAGGTAAGAACTGGCCAGAACACGAAGGATGGATCAGCTCTGGTGGCCCCACCCAGGTAGAAACTGGGACACGCAAAGGATTGTAAAATCATGAACTGGATAAGGCTCCCAGGAAAAAGACTCACTGTGTAGGTATGATTCTGCCTCCTGGGAGATGATGAACCTGGAGAGCCCTTCTAACCATAAGGAGGTGGGCATGAGGCAAGTTGCCAACAGAAGAGGGCAGCGTCCAGGACTTGGTGGACATTGGGGTAGAAAGGACAGGGGCTTAGGAGGACTTGGCGAAGAGGGAGCAATGGGGGAAGGATCATGGCTCTATACTGTGTTTATGCCCGTTCCCTCCTTGGTCACTTAGTCCCATGGCCTGCAGCCCGTCACCAGCTTCCCAGAGAGGCAGTAGCTCTATTGTTCCTGAGGAGGGGAGGCTGCTGCTATCAGGGCGATGGGGGAAAATAGATGTGGTAGGTTTTGACCCACTGAGAGATATATCCATTTAACAAATAGATACTGAGTAACTGCAATGTGGTATTCTTGGTGCTGGTGACAAGTGATGGACAAAATAAATCTCTGTCCCCCGGGGGCAGATATCCCAGTAAAGGAGACAGGGATTGAAAGCCCGATGGCTCAGGACTGTAAGCCAGAGTTCACACTTTATAGGGTAAGAACTGCCATAAGAACAAAGAAACAGGTGATTGAAGTATTAACACCATCACCAACTCCCTTTTACCCTGTTGGTGTGTCCTGGGTTAGTCAGTTCATCTCTAGGCCTCTGTTTCCTCATTTGCAAAATGGGCATTGTAGGAGCTCCAGCTCAGAGAATCATGTGAGTGATTCTCTCCAGGCTGTGTGAGCACCCAGCAGAGTGCTCAATAAACAGGGACCATTACACTATCATCATCATGCGTGTTAACATTCATAGCGCTCCCAAAGGCTCCCAAGGATGAAACTGAAACGAACAGAGATTCGTGAGCCCCGAGTAACCAGTCCTGTGGAGCCCAAAGGCCCTTGAATAGTGTTTTGTTGTTGTTGTTTAGAAGAACTTATCTCAAGTTCTCTGCTCAGTGAGACCCTTCTGCAATGCAGGGACTAAAAGGTAATACCAGCAATACCTTAAAAACTGGGTAGCAGACTATAAAAGCCTTTTTCTACAGAGTTATACTGTTTGACATAGTAGCTACTAGCCCCAAGTGATTATTTAATTTTAAATTAATTAAAAGTATAAAATTCAAATTTTAGTTCCCCAGTCTCGCTAGGCACAATTCAAGTGCTCAACAGCCACATGTGGTCAGTGGCTACCACGTTAGACACTATAGACACAGAGCATTCTCATCATCACAGAAAGTTCTTTCAGACAGCACAACAGAACTGGTGCTGCCCACACTTATAAGCGGAACTCGTGGAGGCCTCTGTGAAGTTATGCAGAAAGGGACAACCTCATCACAGGGAGGCTACTAGGCTAATGCTGACTAAAATTCTCCTTCCAGAAAGAACTTCCTCCTATCTCCAGAGGTGGGATTGGTGCTACTTTTCTGTGATCCCCCAGTACCCTCTACACCCCCTACCTTACCATGAAACACACTGTACCATGAGGACCTGCTCACCTGTCTCTCTCCCCACGGTGGTCATTGTCCCTTCCCTTAGGTGTACACTCCGGGCAAGGCCACAGCATCCTCACTAATCTCCATGGTTTCCAAGGACAGGCCCTATCTGCTATCTAGTCTCCCTGGCTTCAGCATGTGGGCACATGACCCAGAGCAGGCTAATCCTTGGACTTTCATCCAAGCTGTTGAGACAGGTGCTGTCTCCTCCCCTGGGACCATAGCTGAAGAGCAGCCTGCAAGCCCACAGCCATGTTTCCCATCATGAGGAGATCACCTGCCAGTGAAACAAGGTCCGAACAGAGGACGGTAGAGCTGAGGAATGAAAGAAGAGATTCAAAATCCAAATCACATTGCTGACTACTGGGTTCCAGCTGCACCTCAAAACGGCACAACCCCTGGGTTTTCAGTTACATGAGCCAATGAATGTGCTCCTTGCTGAAGCTAGTTGTAACTGGGTTTCTGTCACCTGCAATAAAAGTCCCTGATGAATGCATGTCCCAGCAAGAGGGCGCTGCACCAGGGCAGAGACCTTTTCTGTCTAGTTCACATTTTATCCTCAGGGCTTCACACAGAGCTCGAAACAAAGCAAGAACTCAAGATTCACATTTGTAAGAATAAAGAAACATCCCTTCTGCTTAAGAAATGCATGCTGATCACTGATGTGTACTATTATACTACTCTACACATGGGAAGATGAGTCCTGAAAAGAAAAACATCCTAGCAGAAAATGCCCATGGATCATTTTTCCAGGAGACAAAAGATGTGCTCTCTGTTCAGAACTGAGCACTGAGTGACCGCATCATATTTATCAGGGCAATGAAACCCCTTTGGAGGATTGTGACATGTGTCTATACTAACATAGAAAAGATGCAGAAATTTTACAAAATTCAAATTGTGCTACAAATGTCATAAAAGAACTGTAAGCATTTCTTAGTCAACTGTTCTGACTATAAAATCATTATATGTAATTAATGTCCCCTATTATATAAACTCTCTATTAGGATTCCCTTTTATTATAGACTTTTATAGAATGTTCCTGTCACACAGCCCCAATTCATATGTTGAAGCCCTAACCCCATACATGATGGCATTAACAGGTGGAGCCTTTGTATGTTAATTAGGCTTAATGAGACCATGAGGATGGAGCCCCCATGATGGGATTAGTGCCCTTTCAGGAAAAATAGGAAACACCAGAGCTTCCTCTCTCTACCATGTGTGGACTCAGGGTAAAGGTGACTGTCTGCAAGCCAGAAAGAGGGCCCCCACCAAGAACCAAATCTGCTGGTACCTTGATCTTGGCCCTCCCAGCCTCCAGAACTATGATAAATAAATGTGTATTGTTTGAACCACTCAGCCTATGATATTTTGCTGCGGTAGCCTGAGATGATTAATACACCTTTATCTTCAGATTTTCTCATAACCACAGTTTGAGGACTTCCTGCTGGTGGACACAACAGATGATCTCTGGGTTCTCATCTACTCCACCTTCATCCAGATGCCACACGGTAAGATGGTAAGATGTCCTTGTTGCCTCGGCAATGGATCAGCCACCCACTATGCTCTCATTTCAGGGACATCTGTTTGAAATTTACTCTCTGTTGAGTGTATCAAAGCAGACTGCAATTTGGTGATACTGGAACTTTAATAGACCACTGTTTATTATAATGTTATCTTTAATAAGATACTTATTGTTTAAATTTCCGTGAGCTCCAGGAGGAACATGCATGCCCTGCTGAACACAGCTCTTGGGAAATGTTGAATAATCTGGCAGAGCAGACTTTCGGCAGGCAAGTCTCAGGGGACAGATGCTGTGTGCAAGGCAAACAACTCCTCAGGGCGGAGGCTGGCAGTCTCTGGGACTCAAAGTGGGAAGACATCAGGTGCCTAGTCTTACTTAATGAAAACATAAAAGACTCCACTTAATTGCTCCAAGATTATGCAGGGTGTTTTTTTCCCTTCTTTTAGGTTGAGCTTGTTAATTTGTACAGCTGTGTTGCTGGCACAATTGCAGCCTCGAGTCCTGTTTTCACAACTTGTAAGCAAAATTAAAACTTCCCTTTTTAATTAAAATTCAAACCAAGCCAGAATTAAATTCCTATTGCAAAGTAGAGGCCTAGGAAGGCCCCAGAATGAACACCTGTGCACTCTGACAAATGCACTCATCTGAAGGTGCTGCTGGTGGCCCTTAGGGATGGTTTACTGATGGGTGGTGCTTTGGCCATTTCAACCCCTTCTTCCAAGAGCAGTCAGCTCTGGAGTGGGGAAACTCAAGCTCAGATTCTCCGTTTCTTATAACTTTCAGTCAGAACTGAACTCTGTCCAATGCTGACTTGTTCCTTTCCCTGATTATAATAATAGTAGCAATAATAACAATAAAAGCAAACCCTTGTCCAGGAAGTTTAAATATGGTACGTCTCATATCCCAGTTCCCCACTTTTGGCAGCTCTATGAATGAATGCATTGAGAAAGATGCTGGTCCAAATGTCTTGTGCAAGTGTACGTGGCTGTGCAGATGCCACGTGGCCACGCCTGTCCTGCACCTGACAATAGATTTCATAGTTTTTTAATGGACGTATACTTGCTGTGCAATATTATATTAGTTTCAGGTGCACAACACAGTGGTTTGACATTGAAATGCCTTACAAATGATCAACACATTAAGTAATGAACATATGTCACCGAATAGTTATGACACTACCACTGACTGTATCCCCTGTGCTGTCCATTACATCCCCATGACGTATGTATTTTATAACTGGAATTCTGTACCTCTTAATCCCCCCACCTATTTTTCTCATTCCCCTTTCTTCCTCCCCCTGACAACCAACAGTTTATTCTCTGTATCTATGAGTGAGTTTCTGTTTTGTTCTGTCCGTTCCTCTGTTTTGCTTTTTAGAACCTTTCATTTTCCCCTAACGGAAGGGAGAAAAATTTTAACCTTGAACCCTAAAGGAAAATCTTACATGTTCCTTAGCCTGAACCATAACCCTCTGTGCAGGATACTCACCTGGATACTGCCTGAAAAAGCCCTTTGCACTTCCAAAGTACTGCCATATGAGAGACGGGTCCCGGTCAAAGTTATCCACAAAAACTTTGTTTAGGGATTCAGACCAATAAACTCCATTGACAATCGCTGGGTCTGAAGAAAGAGAGAGAGAAAAGAAGACGTTACAGAGGGAAGTAGGATAGAACCCGGCTGGCGTCCCAATCCCGCACAGCTGGCGGTTATCAGCACGAGGCCACCTGCAGAAAGCCGTGAAGAAAGTCACAGCTCCTGGAAACTCCATACATCGGGGGGGTCCCCGTCTTGCCTGTGCCCCCCAAGCCCCCCAGAAGCCTCTCCTGATGGCTCCTTACATGAAAGCCACGCCCCTTTATTTGTAACTTTCGATCCCGAGCAGCCCATAGTTCTGGAGGAAGCAAAGACAAACCTTAGTGTCATTTTCCACTTTCCCCTCCTGAGTCCAAACTGAACATTAAAAATAGGAAAACATGTTTTTTTCTCACTGCAGTTACCTCAGCCGACATAGCCTCACTCAAATCCTCTCCACCTCACACTCAGAAGTTTGCTTTTGTTAAAAATGGGTAAGTAAATTGGAACTGTGTAACTGAATCTCTCTACTTCTTTTGTTCAGCAGAGTGTGAGCTCCAGGAGGGAAGGGACCACCTCCCTTCGGCCCTCTGCTGGCCCCTCCAACCAGCACGGGACAGAAACTCCAAAAATGTACAGAGCGATGGAGAGATGGCTCGATAGTGGAAATGAAGGCTGTTCGCCAGGTTACACACAACCATCCACCCTCTGCCCTGCTAGCCCAGGACAGACCCCCTTCCGACCCTGCAGGCCGCACTAGTGACCACAGCCCTCCAAGACAGACCCCCTTCCAACCCTGCAGGCTCCACCAGTGACCACAGCCCTCCAAGACAGACCCCCTTCTGACCCTGCAGGCCACACCAGTGACCACAGCCCTCCAAGACAGACCCCCTTCCGACCCTGCAGGCTGCATCAATGACCACAGCCCTCCAAGACAGGCCGCCTTCCAACCCTGCAGGCTGCACCAGTGACCACAGCCCTCCAAGACAGGCCACCTTCCGACCCTGCAGGCTGCACCAGTGGAACCTGAGCAAAGGTTAGGGTCTTCCTTTGACACACTCCGCTAGTCAGTGACAGAACCTCCGATCTGTGTTTTCCCTATTTGTAAAATGGGGGTAATAGCGCCCACCATAAAAGGCTGTTTGGAAGGTTTACAAAAACAGCAGAAAAAGACTAGTGGCAAAAGGCATCCACGAAGCCATCAGTGGAGGTATTCCACTGGCCTGGAGTCCCACACCCTCCCAGAACTCCCTATGGGACCCCAAGTCACAGCAATCCCACCGCGTGTTCTTATTCCAAAGATGCCTCCATACACAGCTGAGGGAATGGGGACACACTGGGTCACTTCAGTCCCCAATCTCGTGGTAAGACAGAGATAAATGCTGTCAGAAATGTTCCTGTAAGGTAGGTACACTGACAAGCTCACTGCAGTGCACTCCACGCCCCCCTCCACACGGCCTGCCCTTTGCCAGCTGGTTGCCCCCACGATGTTCATTGGAGAGGCCCGAGTAGAGCCCACAGTGGCTCCTGACCCAGCGGCAGACGTGGCATCTGGACTTACTGTCTCACCTCTGGCTGCCTTATTTCTTCAGGTCACTTACTCAGATTCAACAGGCCATTGGGATCCTGACTCTCACCTCAAGGGTAAATGCTTTAACTCCTGTGAACAATACTAACCACATCATAGGCTGGGCAACTGAAAATGACCAATTCAGCCTTTTTACCGCAAAGTAATTTTAAGAAAGACTTTATCTTTATAGTCCTGGAAAATGGAGCCCTTTATGGTTCCTGTCCAAGCTTGACAATAATTATTCCGACTCACTCTCTACTACAAAAGCCCCTTAAATTAATCCTCAAAGATGCAAATACAATAATGACATTGAAAAATCTATGTCTCTTGCCTCTTCCATCAATGGCCTCAATTATGTCAGAGTCACATAAAAACCTTCCACAATGGGAAGCAAAAATTTCAATTCACTAGCTAACTGTCTCTACATGTTAAGGAGTAGAACAGTTTCCAAGCAGACAATTCCTTTTTCTTGAGTGGTTTCTTTGCGGGTGGTAGAAGGAGGCCCATGCCTCCAGGCAGCCCTGGAAACCAAAGATTACCCCCGGGGGAAGGGTGAGCACATTCAGAAATGTGAAAGGAATGGTGGTCTGATGGTCACTTTGCCCACTCCATTTGGACTTCAGATCTTGCTCTGAAATTATCTCTCCTTGAGAAAAGGGGGCTCAATTTTCCTAGGGTGTGGTGAACAAGAAAAGTAGAACCACTAAAAGATACGATCTAGTTAAAATGGGGACTGTGTTGCACACACCCATTTGATCAAGTATCTCAAATGACACTTCCTCTGTAAACAGTCACAGTGCATTGATTTCACAAGCTTGCTTAGCAAGCAAATGAGAAGAAAAATATCTTGAATTGCTGTCCATTGTTACCATCACCTAAGAGATGGGGGGAACACAGAAAAACAGTGACATTATTAAGTGGGGCATTCATCTAAATATTTGGGATTAAAAAGGACTTCAGTTAAAAATGGCTTTCCCAGCTCACTACCAGAAACTAGAAAAGAAGTAGCCTGAAGGGTCATGCACCCTAGGTACCCAGGACCCCAGCCATTTCCACCGTTGACTGAGGAGGTGGACATTACATGGGGTGTGGACCAGCTCCCAACGTGATATTCCCTCGGTGGTTGCTGAGCAGATTTGCTTTCTTATTGACACTTATAAAAATGACAGCATCCTCCTCAGTGGCAGGCAAACTTTCTCCTTGTTTGTGTTTTGTTTCAAAATTTATTTAAAAGCCCCCTTTGCTTCATTTAGGATTTTCCAAGAGTCTTAGATTAATCTGAGCTTCAGCTTCCACCTCTACCCGTAATCTTCGTAGGGGTTTAATGTACTGTATGAGCTTCCTGTGGCTGCTATAACAAAATACCACAAACTAACTGAATTAAAACAGAAATTGATTCTGGAGGCCAGAACTCCAAAGTCACGGTGTTGGCAGGATTGGTTCCTTCTGGGGGCTCTGAGGAAGAATCTGCTCCATGCCTCTCTCCTAGCTTCTGGTGGTCTCCAGCAACCCTTGATGTTCCCTGTCTTATAGATGCATCTCTCCAATTCCTGCCTCTGTCTCCACATGGCTTATCCTTTCTGTCTGTCAGATCTCCCTGTCCTTCTCCTTTGAAGAAACCAGCCACTGGATTTAGGGTCCACCCTCAATTCAAGATGATCTCTTCTCAAAACCTTTAACTTAATCACATCTGCAAACATCCTATTTCCAAATGAGGTCACATTTGCAGGATGTACTGGAGGCCACTGTTCAACCCAGTACATGTGCTTGTACTCTCTTACTTTCCTACAATGTACCCATATTTCACAGTTTGGGTGCATTATTTTTCAAATCTGAGTTTAATAAATGCAGGTCTTTTACCCTGGGAAGGATGTTTAAAGGCCTTCTCCCTTTTCTTTATGGAAACAATTGAGATTTTTATGTCCGTATAATAATTTTATGAGCTTCCTGACTTCTGTCAATGGGTCCAACCTGTAATGTAATTTCAGTCCAACAAAGTTGGATTAAAATCATTGTCTTTAATGTCTAGTGTATGTGTCAATGCCCAGCCTTCTGTGCTCAATACAGAGAACTCCACACAACACAGTCCTTTTATCCAATGTTCCTGTCCATTCCACATCAACTTATGATTCCTATTGGTCCATGTGAAGTCCAGGAATAGCAATTCTGCTTCCTGCTTCCTCTATCTTCTGAGACATTAAATCCCCTCCAGTGCTAGCCAAAAATTTATCAGACACTCAGCTTTTAATAAAACAGATGACCAGCAGATGCTTAGAGAGTGAGAGTCCCACACCATCCCTGTGATCAATTTGCAATTTGTATCTGAGAAGCATCTCACACATCTCTGATCTGTCTTTGTAATGTATCATATAACCCATCAAAAATCACCTTTGCAGTTTCCTTCTTTTATTCCCTCCCAAATAACTGCTCTACCCCCTGCAGCTGGCTCTTGCTCCATGGGGTCACCTGGTATTACAGATGGCTACCATTCTCTCTGCATGCTCCCTCCTTCACACACTCACACAACTTCCCATCTCAGCTCTGGACCTTTGAATAAGTAGCCCTCTTGTCATCATCTTCCAGTCACCAGCCCATCCTCCTGAGTTCTGCCTGAGACGATCAGCCCCTTGGGTTCAATGGACGTAAGCATTTAACACAGCCACTGGCACATACAAAATGCCCCCAAAGAGTGGCCGCTATTTACTCTGTACGTTAGTAAATGAATAAATAAGGTCCCAAGAAGAAGTCCCAACTTCTGTCCCTATTCCCTACAGTGGGTGTCCCTGGGCAGCACTCTCACTGTGCCGCAAACCCATCTGGAACTCAGGCTTTGGGGCTGGGGTTCCTGGTCTGAGGCTTCATTCAGCACTTGCTAGCTAAAAGCTCTGCACTTGTGACTTAACTTCCCTGAGTCTGGTGTCCACATCTGCAGTAGGAGATAAGACAACATCTCTTTCAAAGGTTGCTGAGAAAAGGCAAGTAAAGTTGGAGGCCTCCGTCACCCTCCGTGGGAACTTCACTAGTCACGTGATTCTGTGGTAAGCCCCACACCAACCCAGGGCAGCTCAGCTGTCCCAAGACTATCCAGGTGACACTCGTCCTAAGTCTCTTCCACCTTTATCAGATTATCAGGGCAGGCACTGTCAGTGAATCTTTCATTTATCTAATCCTTCAGCGGACATTTACTGAGCATCTACTGTATTAGGCATTCAGCCCTGAGCCAACAGATGTGAAGACAACATTTCAGCCTGAGGACGAGAGACAATGGACAAGTAAGTGAGAATTCCAAATAGAAATGTGTATCACAAAGGAAATAAAAAGGAATGGTAGGCTTGAGAGCCACTTGTGTGGAAAGAAGGAAAGGGGGTTACTCAAACTGGGTGGTCAGAGATGACCTCTTTAGGAGAGACCGGACTGCTAAGCAGGCATCAGCCCAGGTGTGCCTTGGCCAACAAGAGCTTTCTAGGCAGAGCGAATGGCAAGTTCAAAGCCCTGAGCTGGGAAGAAACCAGTGTCTTGAGAAACAGGGAGTCAGAGTGTGTCACTGGGGCCAGGGGGGTAGGTAGAGCTGGGCTGGAAAGGAAGGCAGGCCACAGGGAGGACTGGAGCAGATCAGAGGTTTTCTGCCAAGCACACGTTTTCTAAGAGACATAATCTGTGCTCCACCAGCACCAAAGCCCCTCACACTTTTACTCCTGGCCCCCAAATCAAGTTCTTCTTCTTCTGGAATCTACAGCAAGCATAGCTTGCTTCCCCTAAGCAACCAGGATCTTCACAGATGCCTCAATACTGGAGTTTTCTCTCCAGACTTCAGAGTTATTGGATGCACACTCCATCTTTTTCTTCAATATTATTTACTCTCCAGCAAATTAACAGCACTGTGTTAATTTAAACTTGCCATTTTCTACCGTAAAAGATGGGTCTATTTCTAGAGACTCTGAGTATATTTCAGTGACTACAGAAAATACAGAATTAAAAACTGCTGTTACCCAAAACCATTGTTGGAAGGGATGGGACAGAGTTCAGGTTCAACTGGGTTTTTGAAGTGTGGCCTTTGGGGGG